TTATAGGTATGGATAATTTGATTTTTATATTTATGAGGTCGAATCCATGGACATATAAGGTGTGATGCTAAAATTTGGAAAGATTTAGGTATTTATATTAATGGGTTCAAAATCTACTAAATTCTATTCAAGTTCTTCTAATTAATGTAATTTTTTGAAGTCTACAAATTATTAGGACACCTAGATTTTAATGAAATCCCTTAAAATTTGAGTTGAGAATACCTGACTTTGCACCAACTTTAAAAATTACTTAAAATATGTGTTGGAGACATGTAGATTTGTACGAACTTTAAAAATTGTTAAAATTTGAATTAAGGGCTCCATGCAACACTTAGTGCCATGCCTTGGTTTTTCATAAATTGATAGATGACCATGGTAGAGAGAAGTTCAGTCTAAGCTCAGGGGTTAGGATGGAAGTGTCTGAGAAATTTATTATGTTGGTTGCTTTCAATTGGAATTTTGGATGTTCCAAGAGAGAGAATGGAGTATCATACTCTTTCAATTAAAAAGATATTTGGTCAGAGCTCCTTGAGGCATAAATTCATAGATGAAAATCTTTTGTTAATTTCAATAGAATATCTGAAGAAGGATACTAAATACGTCTGATGAACTTTAAGAACTTAAATTGATACAACCAAATTTCCAAACTCTATAACATTAAATACCATGTGCCATCATTTTTTCTTCTTATTTTTCTAATGTTAATTTACTTTATGTTCAAACATGTTTGTGGTTATGTTTGCTGTCCTCCTTTAACGTCAAAAAGAACTATTGGATTTCGAGAAAAGAACAATACATTTCCTAGCATGCCATGGTATTGACCTTTGCATCGTGTTTTACTATTATTTTTTTGTATGAAGTGTTAGAGGACACTAGGTGGCCTATTTTTTTTATCCTTTGTGGATCTTAAGGAGCATTTATTTTTCAATAAAAATAAAAAATAAGCAAGATAATATTTCGGATACGCTTGGCACTAACTTCTATGTTCTGATGATGTAGGACATGTGTGTAATCTTTTAGTAAAGGCACTTCTTTTTGCGTGATTCAGGTATAATTTCTTTAAACAATATTCATTTCAAAACTGACTTTTTTTAGTCTTTCATAGAGATATGATAAATATCTTTGTATATTTTTACTTTAAAACTTTTAGTTGCTTTACGTATATTTCCATTTTTGAACATGTATTTTTTTTCCTTCATTACTTTTAATTGCTACCCTGATTTTTGTGCATTTCCAATGTTCAACTTACGAATTTATTAAGTTCGTGATTATTGATGAATTACGTACATTATGATATTAGAAATAGATTGCATATGTAGATTGATTGAAGTAGGAGCAAAAATACTAAAATTAGAGATAAAAAATATGTTTCTTTTTGGAAGTTTTTCTTTTCTTACTCTTCAGTAGTTGTATAGCAAAAACATTTAGAAAATAACAATAGTATTTATGTTTAAAAAAAATTGTCATTTTACAAAAATCATATGAAAATGGTAATCTTTTTCTTTCTTTTTTTATTTTTTTTTATTTTTTAAATTTTTTTGGTTTCTTCCACATTTAAATCGTACAAGACTTATTTAAATTTTATTTAATCAATACTTGAGGTAGCAATGTATATGTTTATTACTATTGCATTGAAGTATACAATTTTTGTGTTTAAACTTCAGCTTTACGCATGTTTTTAATGTTGTGAAAGTTTGGATGACTTATGTCTGTAGAATTTTTCTTATTGTGGCAAATTGAGTAGTATTGTTTTTTTGGTTATTTCATTCCTAAAATGTAAATTTTTGCTTCCATTAAATTAGAGGTGAAAATCTTTTCATGATGTTAAATCATATGCTTTGTTCGTTCGCCAACAACAAAATCAAAGACAGACAGATAGGAGGAATTGAATTCAAACTCCACGCATTGATCGTCATAAAAGGATAAATGATTCTACATTAACTAGAAATAATAATTCAAGTGCTTTCCATGCTCGTACGTTCACAGTCCATTTTGATTTCCAGGCTTTTACTTCAAACCAAGAATTGACTAATCTTGTTCACTCTAAATTATGAGGAAGTTTTAACCTATTAAACATACCAACTAATGTATATGTATTACCGACATGCAACTATTGTGAACATTGTGAAGCACGAAAATTTTATAGAAAAACGAAAGTCAAACTTTATATGCCTGATTCATCAACTAAATTGTATGATTTATTCACTTCTAAAGAACTTGAATGCATGAAATTTTTATAAAAAATCACGTTGATAAAATAAACATTTTGCGTTCACTTCGTTTGGTATAAAGTACAATAAAGAACTTTTTAAAGCATGTAGAAATATTTATACATTCAGAGTTTAGCAATAAGTATATCATTATGTAAATAAACTTATGCCAAAAAATAATAAACTTTCTTATATGTAGTTATATTTTTACGATATAGATAATGAAGTTGAAAATCGCATAAAAATTTTAGAAAATTTTGTTGAATATACTTTGATAATTTTAATTGAAATCTTGAAAGCAAATCCATATAGTAGATTTTTTAGGTCTTTAAGTGATAGGAACAATTTGGATGACCATCGAATACTAATAAGATGCGATACAGGACTTGATCAAAGAGTCTTCCATACTCCTTCAACATCTTAAATAGCTACTGTATGGGTTGAGGATGATGACAATGCAAATATTCGTTTTCGTGATATTACTATATATGGTCATTTTGGTGACTCACACAAGGTTTTATTATTATGGTTGTTATGATCCTTTGCAATACACTTTACTTTTTCCATTTGGAGAATCGGGTTGCCGTGAAGGTATTTAGAGATGCCAAAAGACATATTTAGAAACTCAAAATTTGCCTGATCGTTTCACTTTTCCTAGCACAGCAAATTTTGCAACTAAAATAATTGAAAAAGAGGCTAAAGGTTTGCTAATATATTTTTTTGTACATTTTCTAACTCATATAAAGTAAATGTTCTAGATAGATGCAACATGCATTTTATGTATTCTCATGTAGTGTTTAATGCAATGAAGAAACAATCTAAGATTTTTTACCGTGAGTACTATTCCTACAAGTTACAAATTAGGCCTTCTGGTAAGTCTGTGTTGCTTCACGCTGGTAGACTTTTTCAACAATATGTTGTAGATATGTATGTTAAGATTGAAACTACTAGATTAGACTATTTTTGTAGCAACCAAAAACAAATTTGTACTGAAATTAATCAAGATATTATAGATAGCATTTGAAATGGGGAAACAAGAGAATCAAGAATTGGAAAGAAGATTGTTCTACCTCAGACTTTCACATGTGGACCTAGAAATATGCTCAAAAGATATTTAGATGCAATGACTATTGTGTAACGCTACGGAAAACCAGATATATTTCTAACTATAACATGCAATCCAAATTGGCCAAAAGTTACTCACGAACTGAAACACGGTGATGAGATACAAAATCAACTTGATTTAATTGTATGTATATTTAGAGCAAAATTGGAAGAGTTAAAAAATGATTTGTACAAAGAAAATATTTTTGGCCATGTCATTGCTCATATGTACATGATTAAATTTCAAAAAAGAGGGCTCCTTCATACACATTTATTATTGATTTTCAATTTTGCCCATCAAATCTGTTGTACCGAACAAATTGATTGGATAGTATCATATGAAAATTGCTTATAATAATAAATACTTGCATCTTCATTCTGTAATTGCAAAACACAATATGCATGGTCATTGTGGAAACCTTAATCCAAAAAATATATGTATATTGACAAATAGTAGTTGCAAAAATAAATATCCTAAGGATTATTGTAACAGTACTATATTTGGTGATAACTCATATCTATTGTATGGGCGTCGTGATAATGGTATTTCTATTAAAGTGAGAGGTCAAATGTTAGAAAATCGGTGAGTTGCGCTATATAATCCTTATTTAAGTACAAAATTTAACTGTCATATTAACATTGAAGTGTGTTCTTCTATTAAAGCAATGAAGTATTTGTACAAATATGTATAAAAAGGACATGATCGTATTAATTTTCATAGACAAAAATGAAACAGACAAGAAAATTGATGAAATTTCTACTTATCAATCAGCTAGATGGATATCTCTTCCTGAAGCAGTGTGGAGAATTTTTTTCTTTTAATTTGTCAGAAATTTATCATACTGTTTATGCTTTCCAACTTCATATTAAAGATTATCAGCAAATAACTTACAACAATAAAGATGATTTATCTATTATTGTTGAAAATGAGTATACGAAAATAGCAATGTTGACTGATTTTTTTTGGATGAATGAAGTAAATGAATTTGCTCGAACACTATTTTATGGAGATTTTCCTACACATTTTGTGTGGAATGTAAATGGAAAAATTTGGACTCCTGGAAAACAACACATTGTTATAGGATGAATTGTAACAATCAATCCATCTAAAGGAGAATGATATTTCCTCCGTGTTCTTCTTAAATATATTAGAGGCCCAATGTCATTTGACAGTTTAAAAACTTTAAATAGTATAATTGTTAATACGTACCAAGAGGCAGCACTTTTATATGGTTTGTTAAAAGGGGACAACTATTGTGAAGAATGTCTATCCGAAGCTATTATATACAAAATGCATTGTTCTTTAAGATGCCTTTTTGCTATATTTCTTACACTTTGCAACCCTAATTATCTAAAGCTATTGTGGGACAAACTTAAAGCCTATATGACAGATGATTATGTATATCAAAATATTTTTGTTGAAGATGCTGAAGTACAAGCTTTGGAAGACATCAATTCTATATTAGAATCATTGGATAAAAACATAAATTATTATGGAATAGTTTCATTCTTTGTAAATATAGATGAGGCTCAAAGATTGACATGAATGATTGCAGAGGTAACAATCAATTTCAATATTGAACGAGGCTTTGAGAGCATAGGAAAATTAAATAAAGAACAACGATTTGCATATGATAAAATTATGGAAAAAAATAAAAGATGAATCAAGTGGTACTTTTTTCATTGATGGTCCAAGGGAAGCAGGCAAGACTTTTTTATACAAAGCACTCATGACCGGTGTAAGAAGATAAAATTTCATTGCTTAGGCAACAGCATCCTTTGGAGTAGTTGTATCTCTGTTTCCTAGAGGTCGCATGACTCATTTGAGATTTAAAATTCCTTTGAAAATAGTTGGTGAAGTAAATTGCTCTGTTAGCAAGCATCAGCTTTAGGAACATTGTTGAAAATGTCTAAGTTAATAATTTAGGATGAAGCACTTATAGTAAATCGTTGTGCTATTGAAATTGTAGACAGAATGCCTAAAGATATTATTGATTTTAACTTGCCTTTTGGTGTGAAAGTAGTTGTTTTTGGAGGAGATTTTCGACAAGTTCTACCAGTGGTACCGAGAGGAAGAAAAGAAGATATAATGAAAACTAGCTTGGTTTTTTATACCTATGGCCTTCCTATTTACGTTTACCATTGGTTAAGAATATGAGAGCAAAGTTCGATCCACATTTTGCAATTACTTACTTAGAATTGGAGATGGAACAAAGAAAAAACATACTTGTAATTGCATTATGCTTTCGAATAGTATAATTCTACCATTTGAAGATGAAATCACATCTCTAAAAAATTTGATACATCATATTTTTCCAAATATACAAGTATATGCTGACAATTTACAAGAGATGGTAAATAGAGTTATTTTTACATCTTCAAATGAATGTGTTGACTATATTAATAGAATTTTACTTGAACAAATTCCTTGTGAAAATTTCATATACTATAGTTCTGATGAAGTAATTGACAAATTACAACAAAGCTTGCAGGAAGATTTCTTGAATACTTTGACACCAAATGGTATTTCATCACATGAACTGAAACTAAAGGCGAACTGTCCTATAATGTTATTGCAGAATATCAATTCGTCCGAAGGGTTAAGAAATGAAACACACCTTACATGTCAAAAATTTGAGAAAAATGTAATTCTTGTTAAAATTACTACCGATGAATATTGTGAGAAATATGTTTTCTTACCAAGGATCCCTTTTATACCTTTTCAAGGTGATCGAAACTCAATTCCATTTAAGAGAACTCAATTTCCAATTAGACTGTATTTTGCAATGACAATAAATAATGCACTAGGTCAAACACTTGATTTTGTTAGTCTATATCTTCCAAAACCAATTTTTTGCCATGGTTAGCTATATGTAGCCTTATTAAGTGCAAAAATAAGCACATCTCTAAAAGTTCTATTGAAACCATCAAGTATAGACAATTCACATAACACATGTACTAAAAATGTTGTATACAAGGAAATTCATTCGTTCATACATTCATATACTTAGAATGTTTTTTAGGTAATTTTTTTATCTTTGAGAAATTATTATAATTTGCTATCATACAATAGTTTCCTCAATTTTAGTTGCACGCAAAAATATTACATTACTATTTTTTGATTCTTTACATTTCCTATAAAAAAAAAAATTCACAGGTTCCGTGAACGGGATTCAAAAATTCGTTTTAGTTCTTTGTTATGTGTGTGCAATAAAATCACTAATGACTGCTTCAAAGAGTACTCGATTTGTAGAAGGTATTATTCTTATTTATTAGCGTTAATTTTAGAGTTGCCAAATAGGTCACCAATTACTTTAGTAGAATACGGACATAGAATGTAATTTTCTATTTTTAGTTCAGATTTGCCTTTAGAGTTTTAGGCTTTAATGAATATGAATTGAATTGCAGTAACACTTTTAAAAGACAAAAATTGAAGTGTATCTTGACAAGGAATAACTCAATCTTTTAAATTACGAATTTATGACCAAGAAAATATCCATATTTGCTCAAACCATATCATGAATAACATTAATATGTCATCTATCGCATTTCCCTTTCATAGAAATATCCCTTAATGAGCTCGTTCCTTTTTTTGCCTATTTCTTTATAAATGTGTGTTGTCCTAACCTCTGTCAAATAAATGATAATCATTTTAAATTGTTCATAAACATTTGGCCTAAGAATTGTGAGCAAGTGTATTGCTACATTTTGGCGCTATGTTAAGCAAACTAACCCGTGCTAGGAAGCCACCAGCGTTCACATTTGATTATTCAATTGGCATGGGTCGAAGGCAAGAGGGTCATTGCAAGAAATGTACAAACGATGCTATACCCAGAAGTGCATCCAAGCAAGTGGCAAGCACAACGATCTCGACGACGTGGGCAAGGACACTTATCATCATATCTTCTTCAGAATGCTTAATAATTGGTCAGTTGGAGACTATTTTAACAATAATGCAATTCAGTGGGCTTGGGGGCTTCTAAATAAGGCAAGTCCCTCTCACTTCTGTTGTACGTTTGTATACGAACATGCATACAAAACTGATTCATTTTTTTTATTTTCAACTTTATCATTTCTTTCAGGTGTATAAATTACCTCAAGATAGAATTTATGCCACTTATTTTGACGGCGACGAGAAACTTGGCCTTACTGGAGGAAATACACAAAAATGGCCCTTCCACTGTAGCAAAAATTGACATTGGCCTTTGACCCATTAAATAAATTAAAAAAAACAAACTAAGTTAAAAAAAAACATCACAGTAAAAGCCCATTTTACCCTTCAGACTGTTTGAATTATCTCTCACCGACCGACCACCGGAGTTACACCAACGTCGCAATCAACGACCATCATCTACAGTGAAAATAAAAGAACCGGTTAGTTTTCTGATCTTTTCTCTAGTTCGAATGGTTTTCATAGTATAGCACTTTCCTTAGTAATTTTGGTTTAAATTAGATCCATGGGCATGAGTAGTTAGATTGTGGGCATGCTGGAGTGTGAAAAATGTGAATTTTTGCCATTTTTTGGAGCTCAGTGGCCGGGAATGGCGGTTTCCTGCCGTTCCTGGCCGTCGGCTCGTTTACAGTCGGATACACCGACTGTCAACAGTCTGGGCCGACTGTTAACTGTCAACCCAGACTGTTAACAGTCGGCCCAAACTGTTAACAGTCGAGCAGTCTGGGTCGGTTCACCGACCCAGAGTAAATATTTAATTTTAAATTTTTTTATAATTTATGTAATTAATGAAATTTTTTATTCGATTAAATAGTAATTATTTTATTTATTTTTTTTTTATCATTGTCAATATAATATAATAATTGAATTATTGTAAAATTAACAATGTTGATTATTTTTTTTATGAAATTATCTTTAATTTATTTTTTCAAATTTTTTTTATGAAATTATCTTTAATTTTTTATTTCAAATTTATTTAATTTTTATATTTGTCTTTTATATAATTTAATAATTGAAATATTGTAAAATTAATAATGTTGATTCTATTTTTTTCATGAAATTATCTTTAATTTATTTTTTTAAATTTATTTAAATAATATGAATAGTCTAAATTTTAAAAAAAGGTAAAGTAATTATTTATTTAATTTTTATATTTGTCTTTTATATAATTTAATAATTGAAATATTGTAAAATTAACAATTTTGTGTTGTTCCTTTTTTTTTATGAAATAATCTTTAATTTATTTTTTCAAATTTATTTAAATAATATAAATAGTCTTTATATTTTTCAAAAAGGTAAAGTAATTATTTATTTAATTTTTATATTTGTCTTTTATATAATTTAATAATTGAAATATTCTAAAATTAACAATTTTGTGTTGTTCCTTTTTTTTTTATGAAATAATCTTTAATTTATTTTTTCAAATTTATTTAAATAATATAAATAGTCTTTACATTTTTTGAAAATGTAAAGTAATTATTTATTTAATTTTTATATTTCTTTTATATAATTTAATAATTGAAATATTCTAAAATTAACAATTTTGTGTTGTTCCTTTTTTTTCTTTTATGAAATAATCTTTAATTTATTTTTTCAAATTTATTTAAATAATATAAATAGTTTTTACATTTTTTGAAAATGTATTTAATTTGAAATTTTTTGTTTGTAAATATATTTTCCAAATAATAATTATTTTATTTAATTATTTCATTTTTATAATTTCATTTTTTATATAATTTAATAATTGAATACATAATATTGTTCGAAATTAACAATTTGTTTTGTTCCTTTTATTGTTCTTTTATGAAAATCTTTGATTTTTTTCAATTTATTTAAATAATATTTATATTCTTTAATTTTTTTGACAATACATTTAATTTGATTTGTTGTTTTTTGTAAATATATTTTTCAAATGTAGTATTTGTGATTGTATGGTAGTTAGAGTTCGGTTCTCTTGATTTTGTGAGATTATGCTTTCTTTTGTTATCTCTTGCTCAATGCTATAACATTTAAATTTTTGCAGGATGGAGTATCATTTAGATGGAGAGTTGAGACGGATGTCGGAGAAAGCTACTTGGAACAGTAGCTTTGAGAGTTTTACTGTTGTGTTGGAGCTGCTCGATGATCAGCACGGAGATATTCTACGACAGTCCTTCTTGTGGTCACTGTACTAGTTGTGAGAGGTACAGTACTCAGGACAGATCATTGATGCACTTCTATGTCGGCTTCTGAGGCCAGTCGACGGTGATTCCCTCCAGTTCGACCTCGGGGGCAAGGTCATCAGTTTCTCGATGTTTGAGTTTAGATTGATCACTGGACTGAGGATTACGGGCGACGATGCAGCCATGGAGAGAAGCAATAGGCTGTACGAGACGTACTTCCAGGGACATGGGTTGGTGCTTCTACTCGACTTGATGGTCGCGATCAGGGGGTGCGACCATATGCTAGATAGATTGAAGCTTGGGCTGGTCTACATCCTCGAGAGTGTGATGAGGTGTCATCACAAGAAGACTGCCATCGACATTTTTCATTTGCAAGTTGTTGACGACATCGATGAATTCAACAACTATTCGTGGGGCCGAAGATGCTACGAAGACACCGTACATGTGTTCACCAGATCGCACTCGAGGCTCAAGGGGTCGATGCGTAAATACAATACATATGGATTGCCGTTAGCGGTGCAGGTAAATGTTTAATATAATCAAAGTTAAAGTTTTAGTGTATTACATTGATGCTTAATAAGTGTATGTGTTATAGATTTGGGTGTATGAGACAGTTCTTGTACTGGGGGCCCGCTTTGCGCAGCGAGGGGAGACACGCTGCCCTCGGATGCATCATTGGAGATCATCGCGAGCGAAGGGATGTCCCGCTAGGAAGCAGTTATCGGCCCTCCTCGACGATCCTCAAGTAAGTATTATGCATTTGTGATTTATATTATACGTAGTTTAAAATTTTGTTTACATGATCGTTAAATAGTTGAAATGTCAATATGTCAGCTTGAAGTCATACCTGAGTTGACGCCATCGATGGAAGAGGAGGCTCGAGGTCTTGTGCGGGATTTAGACGTTCCGCACACCCCAAACAAGGAGATGCCTGATCCGAGCTTGGATCGAGATTGGATATGTGAATGAAATATAATTTATTGAATATGATCGACGTATAAATTTATTGAATAATTTTTCATTTTATTTATGTAGGAGGGCGGT